AGCTTTCCCACATAGTTGAGCACGGGATGAGCACGTGTGTCAATGGGACGCCTCATGATCACCTCCTCAGAGTACTATCTGATATAGCTCCTATCAAACTCCTCAAGGTGAGGTGGAGTATTAGGGTAAGCACCTAGAGGAATGGTGCGGCCAGCCCTCTTCAAGTTCGCCTGGATCAACTGATCCCTCCTCCCCCTGTCACTAGCATCCCCTCTTCCAACTGCAACGCTGTTGCCTCCTGTTGTTCTGCCACGACCACGATGAGACATCTGCTTATCACGAGGCTCGATCATCTTCCTCTTTTCCCTCCGGTCATCTTCACCTTCGAAGGCCATCTACGCAAAAACATAGACCAAAATGAGAAACTATACAAGTGGTCCCTATAAAGCAAGTTAAGTACTCAAGAAGAGTCAACGTGCAAGCGAGGGAAGCAGCTGATGTGGTACTGCCCCCAGACATGCGGCACTACCGCGCCCGGGAGTGGCACTGCCGCACTTGCTCTCTAGCCTCTCGGTTGGCTTCACGGTTTTTCAACCGGTCCTCATATGTGGTCCTCACTGCATAGGTGCAAATTGGTGAAAATGTCCTTAATCCATCTCCCAAACTTCTCCATCTTTCTGTCCTTGCGAGGCCTAGAGCGAGAGGACTTAGGCACGTCCTCAACTGATGAAGAGCGTCTCACTACCCTGCTAGCACCTGAGGCTTGGGTTTTCTCAATCTTGTAGACGGTGTGGAGACCATCTTTATCAAACCTGTAACCGGTGACCCTCTCAATCATGAACATGAGATAGAAGGCATAGGGCATCCCCTTTCTCCCATACGTAACATCCAGATAAAACACTTGCATTATGTGTGTAAAAACATATGCAACATCTAGATAAACACACTTGCAACATACATCGAAAAAAACATATGAAACATTGAGAATAGGAGCTTGCAATATACGTTTATAACCATTGCAACATGTGCAACATCCCGATCTACTTTTGCAACATCTGTATGAAACACTTGCAACATACCTCTAAGACATTTGAAACACTTGAAACAGACACTTGTAACATGTGTTTTTCACCCTTTTTCTGTACGACACAACGCAGAGCAGGGGACGGTCGGTTCTGGCCAGTCGGTAGTCGAGGATGGTGTCGCGGCCAGTTGCGCCTACGCCTGGCCAGCGACGCCCCTCTCCTGGTCGCCTGGCCTGGGCGCGGTGAAGGACGGAGCACGGCGGGGGACGGAGGCGCTGCTGCACTCGCCGAGCACACGCATGGAGCTTAGAGGCGGAGGGCGAGGCGCCGTCGACCGGGTCCGGCGGCAGTTGCAGTCGGTGTGGCGGCTGGCAGCGTACCTCACGCGGAGGATTCCTCCTCTCTATGGGAGACGGAGGTGCCACGGGGAGCGGCGTGCCGGAGTGGGCAGCGGCGCAGCGGATTGGGTCAGTTGGACGGCGCACGGCGCCGCGACGCATGAGCACGGAGTGGGAGAGACGAGCTTCCGTGGGGATTTGTTTTTTTTATTAGGCGAGCGGCGCATACGGCAGTGAGTAGAGCGAGGTGTCCGTCCTTCCGGACTTCTTAATGGTAGCATTACCATTTCACCATCCCTGACTCTATTTCTCTCTGACCAGTAGAACCATAGCGCATAGCAACATTTCAGTTTTTGCTCTTCATTCATAGTCGATCACATCGTTGGCTGACGACTTATCAGCTAGCTGCTCCCTCTCCCGATTCAGACCGAGCAAGTTCCACACCCTCTCCGTGAGTTTGCACTTGAAAAACAAATGAGCTCCGTCTTCATTGAACTTTGGCAGAACACGCATCGTGTATCAATATCCATACAATGCCTTCTCAGATTCATATGGATAGGATGGCTATTGTAGCAAAATCTCCAAAGGAAGTGCTTGACCTTGCTTGCACAATCCAGTCTCCATAACTTGCTCCACAAGGATACAAGCTTGCGTCTGGGTTTGAGGCCGAGCCCCCGCTTCGACTGCTCCTGCCTAGCTGATCGTTCCTATATGACTTGTATGCGCTTTTGATTGAGAAAACTCCTCTCTTTTTTCAAAGTGCCACGCAGCCAAGTTCTCCATTCCCCCATGAACCGGAATTGCCAAACTAATTCTCGCGTCCTCCTCCCAAAAAAATGTCATGAACTAACTGTGTATCCCAGCTCCCGGTTAACCGGATCTATTAGCTCAGCCACGTCACGAATGAGGTCAGCTCCTCTTGGGGTGATCGGTCTTCTCGACATGTCTCGAGGGAGCCAAGCGTCGTCCTGCCATACATTTAAATTCTCACCATCTCCTACCCTCCAAGTGAGACCCTTCTTCATCAGCTCAATGCCCCTCACGATACTCCTCCATGAAGAATATGAGATGCTCCTCCCCGGCCGAGACTGTAAACACAACTGTCCAGGGTAGTACTTCGCCTGCAGCACCCGAGCACACAAGGAAACTAGTGTTTGCAGTAGTCGGCAGGCTTGCTTGCTGAGCATTGCCATGTTAAAAGCATGGATGTCTCTGAACCCAAGCCCCCCTCCTTTGGTTTGATCATCATCTCCCACTCAACCAATGAATCTTGTGTTTGCCTTCCTGTTGGTTCCACCAATAGCGAACAAATCATGACACTGATTTGATCACACAAGGACGCGGAGGAAATTAAACTACACCAACAATTTGGTGGTATGAATATTTATTTATCTATCATCTCGTCGCACTGTAAAAGAGCGTGTTTTTTAAGGGGCACTCCATCTATAATACCCGGTCGATACGCAGGCTTACCTCAGCCTTCCATCATTAGTAAGATGTATAAGATTTTGACTTCACGATTTTACGCTAGGTGGTCAGAGTCGTCTACGTATGGGGGTATTATATGTAACAGACCATATCCGATCTGACCGAGGGCCACACGAGCTTGTGTTATCAATCGAGTGTGCGGGATCTTAGCCCTGCAGCTGTCCTACACAAAGAAGCGAAGGAGCTCATGTCTTTATGTTTCGATTCAGTACAAGTGTCTCATATTCCTAGATCATGTAATAGGAGTGCTCATGATATTGCTCGTTTGAGTCTTGGTTGGGACCCGGATCAACCTCATGTTTGGATTGATCCCCTCCCTAGCTTTGTATCTCATATTTTGGTTCGTGATTCTGCTGAACCTCATGTTTATGAATAAATAGACTCAGCGTGATTTGATCAAAAAGAAAAGAAAAGAAAAACTAGCTTTGTTGCACTCGGCGGCCGCCTAACCCGGATGTTAATAACCGAGGCAAAAATTAAGGGCTGGGAACGAAACTGAAGAGTCCTAGAAATTCTCGTCGCAATGGCTGCTGGCGATCGCCGCCCCAGCGGAAACTCTGCCGGTGTTCATCCTCGTTTGCGTGTTGGTGGCCTCGGCGTCCGGGCTCCAAATGCTCCCTAACGAGGATCCGAGTACGTACCCCAACGGCAAGCCGAGGGAGTTCTGGTACCCGCGCGGAGAAGTGATCGTCATCGATCTGGTCAACACCAACTCTTTCGTTGCCAGCTACACCGGCACCGGCAAGACCGACGACGAAGACACCATGTTCCACTTCTGCATCCCATCACCGTTGCGTTCGTCGGCTACTACGTCACAGCAGCGCACGGCAGAGGTGAATGGTCAGGGCATAACGTCAAGCAGCACACAGGTACACCGCCGACGATCAGCCTCGTCGTCGTCATCCACCTGTTCAGTCCATCTCAGATTATCGGCGACATGCAGCTCGCAGCGTCCACATCAAACAGAAGCAGTCAAGCAGAGATATAATGCCTCGGCATAGTGCTAGTGCCTATACGGCTGCATTGCGTTCATCGATTCATTTTTTTTTTTTGAAAGCACCACCTGGTGCGGTCTTCACGGGAGGCCAGTGAAACTTTAAATAACAAATCTAAGTCATACAGCGGAGAAACTAAACATATACCTAAGAATTGAGGTTAAATTATGCTAGCAAAACAGTTTTTCACTAGCGGAACAATCCAAACCATACCGAAGAACAATTAATTTTCCCTACTGGAATAATAAAAACATACCACCAAACAATGCATTTTTCATACCGGAACAATAAACATATACCACTGCTTAATGAATTTACCTTGAATGAAGAATACAAAATATATCACGAAATAATGGAGTTCCCCTACTGCACATCAAAATATACCATAGAATAGCAAATTTTCACTCACAGAATAATCCAAAAATACACAAGAAACAGTACAAGAACAACAAAAATTTACTCCCTTCATTCCAAATTATAAGTCGTTCCGGCGTTTAAAAATACATAGCTTTTGCTACACATAAGATACACATTATGTTTAGATAGATACATAGATACATAGTAATAGTTATGTATCTAAAAAAATATAATAATTTACAATTTCGAACAGAGGAAGTACTAGGGACTAATGAATTTTCACTGATGAAAATTCTAGTGTTCAATGCCCTGTCTCCCAACCTGGCTGGAAGCCTTCTTGTTACTGGAGTTTGGCGGGGGCTCGGGGCTTTCCTACTTGCCGTAGAGCCCGCCAGTAACTAACAGGTATTCTTAGAAACTGTGTGTATTGTTAGAAACTGTGCGTATTGTTTATGTTGTAAGAGTTATTGCCCCCCTTTTCTAATTAATATAAAGATACACAGTTCTCATGCTTGTTCAGGAAAAAAAAAACAGATTACATCAACGAACAATGGATTTTGTTGTTTCGTGCTATTTAGATCCGTAACATCCAGTTGGTCAGATTAAAAAAAAAACATTGTGCTAACTTACTTGGGAAATCCCCTTTGTCATGAACAGATCACATTTGTGTCATCACTGAACTAAAAAAACACTGAATGGCTCTTACAAGTGAACATTATTTTTATTCTGCATGTGACATACTGCATTTATTAATAAAACTAATGCTCACATGTTATTACTGCAAACCAGGCTATGGCTAACAGCTACTAATACCTCATCACCACCAAACCAAGTACCTACAATCTTTGTCGTTTCATTCAGTGCAGCAGTTCTTTGCCAAACAACCCAACAATGGCTCGTCCAGGGCACTCTTGCTTCACCAGGGATTCCCCCACCAAAACCTATAGCAACAGGCGCACTTCAATTAGCTTCAGTTCAAAGAACGGAGGACCCGTAAACTGAGAAAACATCATGAACAAGGCATGTCATCCTTCAATACAAGGAATGTACTGTATTAATTTATATTTTATATAGTTATAAGTATTTGTGGCCTGATCGAATTCAAGCAGGTTGTGTGTATTCCAATAGTCTACATTTTGGAACAAAAACTGAAGTGAATTAAAGATAAACTGACAAATGTGTAATCAGTACAGAAAGAGAAAATAAGGCGAACCAATATAAAGTAATAAGTGGTTCAAGAGATGTTGCTAAAAAGGTTTCTCAAATCATGTGGGGCAGAATCTAAATTGACAAGGAACCAGGGGGAACTTACAGCAGAAACACCAGCATTCTGCACATAAGCAACATCATCTGGCGTGAACAGACCTGATTCACCAACAACCTGAAAAGTATATAAAGGGAAAAGAGAAACAATTAGGAAGGACCAGATTATGACACCTAATAGTCCTACTCCAGAAACAAGGGAATTAATAGCAAGCTAGAAAAATGCCCTAGCAATATGCAATACACTACAACTGCAATATCGAATATAAGTTGACATATCTGCTTAAAGTAAATTGTCAGTTTCAGTTTCATAATCTCTTACCTATTTCCCTTTGGCTGTAAAGAAACTTATTTTCACATATGTTCATACAGTAATTGGAGTAATATGATCAACAAATTGGAAAACAGGCTCTTCCAGTGCCTTTTCACATTTCTGAATAAGTTCTCCAATAAACTCCCTCCCTCAAAATAAGATAACGTGTAGAACACAAATACATTCAGTATGCTTCAAACGCCCCCAAAGGCCAACACCAGGATTCATTCAATGCATGCATGTAGCTCGAAAGACATACAGGTTAAAACTGGATATTTATCATGGCTTCCATTTGTGTTTAGAGAATACCACACATATTTGGCATTGAAATATGGAAGTTCCTATTTGTGTTCTGTGTCTGAGCCCACAGAGTGTACACACTAGGTTATTCTAATGAATCAAATATGGAACTAGAACCTGACAAGGTTATTTGAATGAATCAAATATACACCCAAGACAATGATATTACCAAAATTCCCTTCTCCCTGATGCTATCGCCATGCTTCTCGAGCAACATCTTGGTGTTTGAAGTATCAACAACAAATGTCTCTGCAGTGAAAGTAATTTTCACAAAATAAAATAATATAAGCATTCATCAGAAAAAAGGTTTAGAGAAAAAACAAGTGGGAAGCATTAGTACTCGATGAAATAGAAAAGTTCAAACTTAAAGATGACAAGATGTCTTCGATAGAAAAAAGAAAAACGAGCACAAGAGGAATCCCATACCAAGGCTTCGGTTATTGATACCAATAAGCTTAACTCCATTTATCTTCAGCACACGCTCCATCTCTCTTTCATCATGAACCTAAAATATAAATCCCACCAGAATACCAAAATCAAGCTTAGCTTATTGTGGACAATTTGAGTTTATCACACTTGTCTTCTATTCAGAAAAATATTATGAGACCAGCATACAGATCAGCAAGAAATTACAATTTACTCCACACTGTTTCCATATGAAGACACAAATGAAAAAATTCATAACATTTCTTTTATCAAATTACTTGTTGAGTATTTGAATAAAACACACACAGAATGATGGTTAGAGAACAAGTCTTTAGCATGATATAGAAGCATAAGCAAACTACTATGGTTCATTCTATCATGTGAAGTAAACTATGCAATTTTACTAAAAAGGAGAACGTTAAACTCTTTCATCATGCAAAGTAAATTACTATGGTTCATTCTGCCATCCAACAATGGAAAAGTCACCAGTTTCTAATTAATGGGTGGGTACAACAAAATGAAATGCATAACATGTCGAACCTCAATAAGAGCTGTCATTCCCAACTCTGCGCAAATCTTAACAAAGTACGTTATGTCAACATCTGGTAGCACAGCAGCAATTAATAGAATTGCATCAGCACCCTTAGAGCGAGCATTATAGATTTGCCACTTATCAATGACAAACTCTTTGCAGAGAAGGGGGCACTGCATTCACAAGAGAAATTTTTACATCTTGAGAGCTATTGGTAACTCATAATCATTCTCATAAAAAAAATAACACTTAAATGCATCAGTACCTTCACTCCTGAGGTGCGCACCTTCTCAAGATTCTCAAAGCTTCCCTGTACAATGGAAGCAAATTGAGGGAAACCAGGTAAGCATAACATCTATGATCCCCACAGACACAATCAATTAAAATCAATTGAAATATACCTGAAAGTACTTCTCATCTGTCAAAATGCTCAAACATGCAGCTCCATTCTTTTCATAAGCTTGAGCAATTTCAACCTGCAATAGAAAATTACTTTTTAGTTACATAACCAACCACTGAAACTGACTCTAGGTTTCACAGCTAATGAGCCCAGAACATACAGGATTAAAGTTCTCCCTGAGCACGCCCCTACTCGGGGATGCTTTCTTGACCTCAGCAATCAATGCAGGCACCCCATTACGCTTATAGGCAGCTTCTAAAGCACCATAGAAGTCTCTTGAAGGAGGGGCCTTCTGTGCAGCCTGAATCACCTCCTCCAGAGGCTTCTTAGCATGCCCCTGCACAAGACCAGTACAACCTGTTAACCATCCCTTTAAAAAAATCTGTTAACCATCATAAAGAGCTGTGTGAAAGCTTATGAAATAGTGACCATTATGTAAGAGTATGCAGGTCAACCATATGAAAATAGCTTAATTAGCTCTTTCACGAAATATACTTTAACACTGCTAAGTTTAATGTATTGATGGTACATTTTTATAAAGACATAGTAAAAAATTTAGACTGCAGAACATGAGCAAAATCAATAACCTATCTTTAGTGAGAGGAAGGATACAGAAAGGAATCACCTATCGCAGGAAAAAACAGTAGAAGCATGGGATCAAGCACCTTTGATTTAAATTACAAAGATTATATAAGAGCCCTCGCAAGGGATCAAGCATCTATTTGTGGCACAGAACTGTAGTCAACAATATGGACAAAGTGAGAACTTTCTTCTGGCAAGGGGAGGTACAAAGAGAAAATACCACCTGATAAAGTGGACTAGAATCTATAAAAGCAAGACAGGTGGATTAGGTATTAAAGACCGGAGAAAGTGATGGTGGAAACTTGAACAACAGGATGAAATTTGGCAGGGAATTGTTAAAGCCATGTATATTAAGGAACAATCAATACACACTGTGAGTCATAAACATGATAATTCATCCATTTGAGCAGACTTGCTCAAGATAAAAACATTGACCTTCAAGGATTCTGGAAATGGGAAGAAAACTAGATTCTGGAAAGATCCTTGGCTCTATGAAGAGCCTTTATGTGGCAAATTCCATACTCTGTTTCAACTATGTGAGCAACAAGATATAACGGTTGCCAAATGCATGGAACTCAATTTACAGCTTTCAATTAGGAGATAGCTCTATGCTGTTTTGAGACATCAAAATTTCCACTTCCGAGATGAGGATGATTTACTATTGGAAACTGGAAAAGAACAAGAAATTCTCTGTTAAATCTCTCTACAATGCCCTGACTATCAATGATGCAGGGCCATTATTCAAACACATTTGGAAAGGAAAATCCATCCCAAAATTAGAATCTTTATGTGGTTGATGGAAAATAACGATGTTCTCACTAAAGAAGGAATTAGATTGGAAATCCTAGCTACTACTTCTGTGAGCAGGATGAAAATATCTCCCACCTCACCGTGTAGCCAAAGTGGTTTGGTCGAGCATTGGTGCTAGTGACAGGCCAAAATGCCTCGCTCAATCTGGAAGTGGACTAAGAAATGGCTTCTGAATGGAAATAAATTCCATACTTCGCGATCTGGACAACTAGAAACATAGCTTGCATTGAAGGGAAGTTAGTGGAAAGCCCTGCAGAAATTATATGTTATGCTTGTTTTCTTATGCGATATTGGACAGGTCTATACCCAAATGATATGCATGAGATGATGGTCATGCTGCAGGTGGCTACTAGACTTGTTGCTGAAGGCCCCCTAGCTACTCCGACAATCCTGAAGCTTAGGAGGGCAAAGAAGGTGAGATAACTGATGGCTGCTAAGATGATGGTGCGCAGCAGAGTTCCCTGTTGGTGTTCTAAATGTTGCCGTCTTCTTTTCGGATGATGTAATAAGTTCTGTGATTGGGGTCTGTAGTTTTGGTAGTTGTAGAGACCTGGAGTCTGTTTTCTGCTGTCCTATCCCTTAGGGCCTGTTTGGAATAAAGGAATGAAAAACAGAGGAAAGGAAAAAAAAAGTAGGAATAGGATATAGGTGTTATGGGAAAACAGAGGAAAGAAAAAAACACAGGAAAATATAGATTGGGGTGTTTGGAACATAGGAATTGTAACACAGGATTCCCAAAACACGAGACATTGCTAAAAGAGATGAAAACTTATTTTATTATTCACTAGCAAATGTGCCTGTGCGTTGCAACGGTAACCAATACGTACCCGTGATCATAAAAAAAAATAGCTTTGTCTAATTTATATTTGCTTACTTTCTACTTTTCTTTTCTTTTCTATTTCTATTTCGAGTAGGATTCCTATTCGCTCAGGCTATTCTAGGCAAGAAGCCTTGTACGACAGGAGAAGTCTATTTGGATTAGGATTTCTATTCAAGTTACCTTAAGAAACCCCATATATTCATGTAATAAAATAGTAGGGGTGTAGATGTGTCTGGGATGGTTTCCACATTCACAAGGTTAGTTAAGAGGTCCGGACGAAAAAAATGGGTGGAGAGACATTTTGCCTCTTTAATATTAGGTATAGAAATATTTGTCATTGCAACGTAAAACTTTAATTAACAGATAAACATATGTGATTACTACTTCGACAGGTACTACGTGTGTCAGGACCAAACAAATATATAAATTTGACTTCTAATCATGGAATTTTTTTTTTGGAATTCTATGTTTGTCAATTAATCTGCCACAAGTTCATGTTTAATAAACGAAAGTACATACGGAATCCTCTAGGCCCTGTCGTCGCCTCTCCGGTAGCCACTGCCCCTCGCGCAGCCATCGCCCAGCACTGCCGCTGGCCTGCCAGCCACCCGCGCCCCCCTCCCTCCCACACACCAGCTTGGTGCCAGGTCGGCCATGGACGGATAGCCATGAGCTCAAGCAAGAAGATGAGCAGTTGACCACTTTGGAAAGGTAAGAAGAGGCATAAAACATTTGCTTTCTACCGGCTTCTTACCTACACGCGTGCGTCCGTCTCGGGCATACGCGAAAACTTTGGATCCGAGTAGAGTTTTTCGTTCCTGCGTTTTGTGAATGGAAGCGTTCCTTTCCAGAGGAATGGCAAGGCTGAATCCTTCGTTCCAAACGGCACATGACATCATCAAAATGGAGGAACTGCATTCCTTTGAAATTCCTTTGGAATTCCTGCAATCCAAACGAGCCCTTAGTCTGGAGTCAGGTATCTGATGCAGGCTCTCCAGCTCTAAGATAAAGTGATAGGGGTTGCTTCTCCTCTAGTGCTCCCCTTCTGTTCACCCTGTTTGTGTCACTTCAAATTCTTGTATTTCTGTTTCCGTAATGGAAATGGTCTTTCCTTGGTTAAAAAAAAAATATATATATATACATATATATACAACAGCCCTCGCCTCCACAACTCACCCATCTCCGAACAATTGAAAAGCCTCCTCATGCCATTGCCACCATCTCCACTCCCACCCTGCCCTGCCCTAGCTGCATCTCCCTCCACCGCCGTAATCCAGGAAGGACAAGTAACGGTGAAACAGGGCACTCAAGCTGAGTGAAACACAACACTAAATTACTAGAATTGGAAGGCCAGTTACTCTCTCAATTTGCGAAGTCCAATTTTTTTTCTCGGACACGCATGAGAGTTGTGTATCATTGAATTAATCTTTTGAACGAAAAAAGATTTTTTTTTGACCGAAACGTATCATTGAATTAATACAAGAGAGTCAAACACATACACACACCTCTGCCCATGAATTAGAAAATTGTATCAGTTCTTGTTTTTAGGATGACAGTGAGTTAGATCTCAGCAAGGTGGATGTGTGATTTGCTAGGACGTGATTTATTGCACTTGCATTCAATCTCAATTTTTGTCATGGTTCTTGAAGATATATTTATACCACATTATCAAACAATTTTGTGACCGGAAGGGCGGGCCTGGTGCAAGCGGTAGAGTCTTACCGCCTGTGACCAGAAGGTCCCGGGTTCGAGTCACGGTCTCCTCGCATTGCACAGGCGAGGGTAAGGCTTGCCACTGACACCCTTCCCCAGACCCCGCACAGAGCGGGAGCTCTCTGCACTGGGTACGCCCTTTTATCAAACAATTTTGTTACATGTTAAACACAGTCTGCTCATAGGAGGTTCTGAAAATACATGTATGCTAGTATAACTGAAGTCTTTGTGTGTGTTTTGTACTTTCTATTGAACTGTATTCAGGTATATCTTGCCGAAGAATAGGAACCACTTGCAAGGGTTGTACTTACAAAAGATACAATAACAAGAGTTGGCGATGGTGCTTGTCCCTAGAATCACCATGTCTTAATTAATAGTTATTGATGACATTATATTTCTTGCTCAAAAGTTATCACAGCAGCATATCTGAAGTAAATAGACTACTTCTGAAATGTTAATGGCCAAACCAACTTCCTGTGAATATGAGGAATTTATTCCAATTTGATAATTTGGTAATTTTGGATTTACGGTTAATGGCAGGTTTCCTCTTGTAGAAGTGAATTTACTTTCAGCCAACTGTCTCGTGATTTAATATTTCATACTCTTTTTTTTTTTTTTGCCATACCTCACTTCATTCTAGCTACTGCAGGTTGTGTTCAGCAGTGCTACGCATTTTCTGGTTGTTATATTTTGAGGCCCTGGGCAGTGGACATTTGGGATTTAGTAATGTAAGTGCTTCCCAAGGTTAGCTAAATGATAACTAAGAATGCCTATTCCACTGAATGCTTGTTTTTATAATTCTGTGGCCATGAATGTAAGCGTGCTTTGCTAACTTATTGTAATTATATGCGGTGAGAAGAAAAAACATAGCCTATGTCTACAGATTGATTATGACTGCTGAAACTTTTCTTTTGTCAAGCTCATGCCAAGTCTTGGTGTTTCTATCCAAAAGTATTTCCCATGTGCAAATCAAGACCAGCCAAACTATTGACATTTGATATGTCAAATCTATGATTCCCTTCCATGGTTAGTTTTATTTCTTTTGTACTTGTTTTATTTCTTACCGCCTGTGACCGGAAGGTCCCGGGTTCGAGTCGTGGTCTCCTCGCATTGCACAGGCGAGGGTAAGGCTTGCCACTGACACCCTTCCCTAGACCCCGCACAGAGCGGGAGCTCTCTGCACTGGGTACGCCCTTGTTTTGACATTGGCCCTGTTTGGAAGCACTTAGTTTTCAGGAGCTTTTTTGGTAAGTCAGTTTTTCACCACTTCTCACAAAAGACGATTCCTAAAAAAAGCTAGGCAATGGTGTTTGGCATAACAAGCTTTTCAACTCTTGCTAGGCCATCTCCTTGGCCCGGCAGCTCTTTTCAGGTGCTCGGGTCTCAGGTGTGGTAGGTTAGGTGGGAGGGCCTCAGATGCTCAGGTCGGCAGGTGGGCCTCCAGCGCCAGTCATGGGCGAGCTCGATGGTGGGCACGGCTCCAGCAAGAGGCCCTCCGACGGGCGGTGGCGCTCCAGCAAACAGTGGGCGGGCGAGCTCAATGGCAGGTGTGCGAGATCCAGCAGGAGGTGCTCTAGTGGGCTGTGGCGCTCTGGTGACCGGTGACACTTTGGTGGAGAAGCGTGCCGTCCTCGCACGAGCTCGTCGGCTTTGGGCGGAGAGAGGCACAAGCGACAGCTCCCTCTCTCCTCGGAAAAGTTTGTCCCTAGTTCATTTCCCAGAAGCCCATCTAGAAAAAGCCCATGAGAAGCTAGGCGTTTGGGAGCGCTAGTGACTTAAAAAGTAGCAGAAGCTGCAAATAAGCAGTTCCAAACAGGGCCATTATTTACATGAGTTTTAATTTCCTTCATGGCTATTAGGGGTGTATAAACGGCGAGTATTTCCTGACCGACCAACTAAATGAAGGGCTTCAGTATCCGTATGAAACGTACCATATCCAAATCCATAGATTTAGTATCTGCACCATATCTGTATCCACATGCTAAAATTTGGATATATATGATGTCGAAATCCATTCATATCTTATCCGAAATATCAGTAACCGAATCTGAATCCGAGGTTTATGGTAGCTATCCATATCCGTATCCGTAGGTATCCGATCTGTGTACACCCCTAGTGGCTATTGTAATCTATTAAAACCTGGCTTTGCGTCTGTTTGTATGTGATTCACTTCTCTTATCAACCTTGTGACTCTGAACTGTGGGAACCTATAGTTTCAGCATCATGGTCTTTGATGTTTGTTACTGAACTCTCAGTCTGTAGTGACACAATTGTGTTGCAGTTGCTTATGTTAACTAAAACGTGGTTTGTTGCATGAATTAATTGATGCATAAATAGAAAAGTTGAAGCTCTGTTACTGAGAATGTTCTACAGAAAGAGGAGGACAACATTGAGGGCTTTGCACAGAGGCTTGATTTTTTTCTCTTGTTCTTAGCAATCTGCTATAGCAATTCATTTGACACCCTATATGGAAAGGTTGTATATAGAAGTTTTGAGATAGATATTCTTTGTTCGTTTAGATCTAAACACCTCTCATAAGATTAGTCCACTTTGGTCAGATCAATGTTTTTGTAATTAATCTTGGAGGTTAACCACATGAAGTATCCTTAGGTACCTTATAAAGTCATAATTTATTCACAATGACCTACATGGCTACATCACAAATTTTTAACTGTGAAAATAGAAATATATTTTCAAAAACCAACTACATGGGCTACTTATGAAGCTATTGTGTATCTGTGAAAAATGTCTTTCTGTTTCATATCATAGAATAAACTAAGGACCTCATGAATATGTATACCTTTTTTAGAATTTAATGATAGAATCGAATAATGCACTGTTAACCTGTGTAAACAAGGAGCAACTTCCCCCTGGATATATGGAGTGTATCGGCATATGTCCCAGCCTTCACACAACTTACCCAGCGTTTTTGTCAGCATATTTGGAGCTCAATAATTGAGTTTCTTCATCGTTAGCAGCTAACACTAGCTTTCATCATTTCTGGGAAAGATGTTCACTGCCAATTCTTGCCCCACAGTGGAATAATAGTTTATGAAATCGGTCATTTTGTTCATTGGGTTTGTTTCCTAAGAAACTGTGCCATAAATGTTTCAGATACATACACATGCTGGTAACTTCTCTATTATCATATCATCTAACTTCTCTATTATGGACAATAGAATGTATGCCAAATGCTACTGCAAGTTCTAATTTGCAGATTACTTACGCCAATACTATGTACTAACCTAAGAGGCTAAGACTCTACATGCACACCGTCCAGTTCTTGCAGCCATGTGAACAAATAATTAGTAGCAATTAGTAGTTATCTCAAAGGACCTACTGTCCATAATACCTAATGCTCACACTGCTTTATTATCAGTATCTGTGCAACATCACTCTCTACCTTTGGCCATTCAACTTTGCTACCAGAACCACAAATGTCCTACACATGCACAGAGTTGCAACTGCATACCTCAGCTACTTCAATCTCCTTGTCCCAAATGATCGTCTCTAGGATGTTACGAGGGGCTCCCAGCCCCTCCTCTATCTCCTTCAAGGAGGCAGTGGGGCGGCAGTGCCTGCGGATGCGAATCCCCTGGCTAGCCGCTATGTCGTTCACTGTCATGCCATTCTCCCATTGGACTAGCTCTGTTGCGTTCAGCATATCATCCTTTGCCAGCGCCTCAAGAATTGAGTCCTAAATAAGCCCAAAAAAAAAAACTTGTCAAACAAGTGAGGCGCACCATCAAGCACATTAACCCAGTATTTATATTTATAAGCAAGATTTTACTGATAAAATAACAAATCGTTATTCCATACTGGGGAGGCGAAATGGGTGGAAAGATGGTGCATTGTATTGGTGATACTAATAAGTATTTCAGGACGAAACGCAACTACACTGCGGGAAACCCTGCTCCGCGAATGGGGAAAAGAATACGAAATGGTACCAAGAAAACAGGAAACCTCCACAGCATATCCGCTCAACATCAGAGTGGAGAGACCAAACAAACCCTTGGAAACACAGCAAGGCGTACCTTGGGGCCAACACGGAGCGGGCGAGCGCCGGCGCCGGCGCCGGCGAGGGTGGCGACGCGCGAGGGCCTGGGGGAAGCGCCCCTGGTGCTAGCGACGGCGGAGAAGGAAGACCTAATGGATCGCGATGCGAGGAGAGACTCCATCAAACGTGGAAAACGATGGGGGTACGCGGAAGCCGACGGTGGGTCTCCTGGTCTCAGGGGAATTCTATAGCTGGTGGCGGCAGCCGGGACGGCAACAGCGGTCCGAGTCGGGTGCTGACGGGAAAGACGACGTGTCCGGCACGACGCACGAGGAACACGCGCCTCCTCCTATCCCTGCAAAGTATTTTTTTATTTATATATATATAATACTCGCTCCGTGGTAGATGTATATCAAAATTTATATATATAAAAAAGTTAAAGCGAGGGAGTATAAATTTGTTATTAGGGCATTTTTAATATAATATTAATATTTGTTGATGAAGACTAAACAACATCTTCAGCCGTGAATACCCTTTTAATTATAATATAATAGACATTGTATCAACTAGATGATATCCACGCGTTGTTACGGGAATTTTGTGGCATTGCACATGATCACAAATAGAGAAATATTACTTTGTTTCTTCTTGATTTTAGCTCAAAGTATAAATGGAAAACAATGATCCATCTTCAGTAGAACCTAACAAAATGCCTATCAATCAAATCCATATCTTCGTAAAGAAAATACACATATGCACATTCTGCATTAGTGCTGTTTCTCATGTACTGTCTCTGTTTGGAGACCGTACTTGTAGTTTAAATTTTGTAAAAAAAAAAGCGCACACATAAATAAATATAACAGATCGGGTATCAGTTGGCGACCCACCAGAAGTTCTGTTTTTAAAACATCTTCCATCTCTCGTAAAAGGGAAAACCTTCCGCCCCTATCAAAAAAATGGGAAAAAAATCAGCCGCAATACCTCACGAACCATCATCAGCCCATCACGTAGATGGACTCTCGCCCACTCATTCGGGTCTTCCCCTCTTGTATCCTTCGGAGTTCTGACTCTAGCGCGGAACGGACGTTCCACATGGGAGCTCCAATCAGATCGCCTTCCTCCATTCTTTCCCTTCGAGTTCCAAACGCCACCCTCGTTGCGTGCATGGGTGGTTGTCATTGCCGAAAGCGTGGGCGCCGCACCGCACATCTCCGTGTCCCTCGTAAGGCCCCGGCATTGAGATCAGTCCATAGGTGAATGGTCGCCGGGGCTAGGGACGTCGCCAGCGAGGGAGGGCGGGCACGGCGAGCAAGCCGTTGCGGCGAAGCTCTGCAGGCACCACCAAGCGGGACGGAGCCCGGCGGAGGTGATGTTGAGTCCCGGACGTCCATCTTCTCCTTCCGTAGCCGGATGATCCTAGGCATGGCGCACGAGCCACGGGACAGCTAAGGTGGAGCGCAGTATCCTGTCGGGGACGGCGCGATGGCTGAGCTAGGAGAACCTCGGCAGAGGTGATGCGGCGCTGCCGAGCAAGGCAGGACATGGCCAGAGCGGAGTTATTTAAACTTGACTGCAGCAGAGGCGGCGACTATTCGTTTTCTTCTGCATGCGTGCATTTGGAGTGGCAGTTCCTTTTAGGTGCATTTATTTGTTGTGATCGAGAAATTGGTGATGCATCGTGGTAGATGAATTGATTGACGCAATAATTTGTATGGCTCTGCGTGAGAAAGAACGATGGGTGGGTGCGGGTGACGTGGCTTAAGGAGATGGCAGAAAAATAGGCTAGTGGGGATCTCCTGTTAGTTATATAAGATTAAAAAATAGTTTTAAGTTATAAAGGAGAGAATGAGTGAATAGACATAAATATCATTTCTCGCCCATGTTGCATCTCAGCCCATATTAAGCTAAATAAAGGTCACCTTATGCTAAATGCGTAGTATAAGACCATATTTGGTATAGCTTTTTGGAGGCTTTAGCTCCTCCTAAAACTTATTAGCGATATTGTTTACAATTGTAGCGAGAAGCCATTTTGATTTTCGAGGGGAAAAATAAACTGTGAAAGAGGGGAAGTTGGCGGAGCCATAGTTTATTCTATCAGCTCCAAATTCACCATGCTGTAGTGCTACTACAGTGTGGAGCCAGAGTAGCCAAGAGCTATGCTAAACTGTCCCTAAATTTCACAATTCATACATGTTCGCACTTCGTAGGTGCTTGAGCGGATCATCCACGCATGCTTGAGCGGGCCACCCACACAATCCGTTAATTCATTCCGTCACTTTACATTTGTTTAGGCATTGATGGCGGGGATAACCAAGGGCGGAGACAGGGGCGGGGCGGGCAGGGGCCTGGCCTCCCTAACTTTGCATAATTTTCATTAGTATATACAAATCATTAGTTCTCACTTATTAAAAAATATTATAAGTAAACAAGTCTTCTCAAATAAATTAGATTATTTTTCTCAAATACATCTTTCGATTGTCTAATGTTAAGTGTATAAATAAAATAATATGATGTGAGTCTATTTTTGTCTTTAATTTACACATTTAGCATTTATCTAAGATGATGAGATTAAAGATGATTTATTATAATTTTGTTAGCCAACATCAAAGTTGATATTTTTTAAAGCCGACATCAAGGTCTGACAGTGAAATTGAGTCAAAAAAAGAAGGCATAATAGCCTTTTTCATCCCTCAACTATTACTCGAGGCTCAGTTTGGTCCATGAACTTTCAAAACGGCTGTTTTAGTCCTCAAACTCTACTTTTAGGCTCAATTTCATCCTAGAACTATGAAGATGATTGTTTTAGTCCTCAAACTTTGCATTTTGGGCTCAATTTCATTTATAACCTATCAAAGTGTATTTTGTTCTTTAAACTTTTATTTTCAACTCACCTTTGTCTACGTTCTATGTGGAACGCTGCACTGTTGCACCTGGTTAGCTCCAACACCACTAGCGATTAGAGATAGAAAAATAATATTCATCCAAAAACTCTTTCGTGGCCATTAATAATTCCAAGCTATTATTTTTAGTGCTACCTTATAATGGTACCATTTACATATATCCGACTAAATGATATTTGTGGGAGCAATTACAGTTGCATCGAACACTATTTATTCTTTAAGAATACATGGAAAATAATAGCAGATCTATAATTTTGATAATTTACGGATGAAATTGTGCCTAAAATATAAAGTTTTCTTTTTGAATAGACAAAATTGAGTTGAAAATAAAAGTTAAATGCACTTTGATAATTTATGGATGAAATTGAGCCCAAAATGCAAAATTTAAGGACTGAAACGATCATCTTCATAGTTGTAGGATGAAATTGAGCCTAAAACTAAAGTTTGAGGACCTAAACGGCCGTTTTGAAAGTTTAGGGATGAAATTGAGCCTCGACTAATAGTTGAAGGACCAAAATGGCTATTGTGCTAAAAAAGAACTAATGGTGAAATCATATAATTTTTTCCGACACTTGGTGAGCTACCTCCTTCTATATGTGAATCTTGGCTCTGCCCCTAAGGATAATAACATATGAGGATAACCTACACGGGATGACCATCCACACGATTCGGTAATTCGTTCCGTCACTTTGCATTTGCTGTGCTGTTGACGGTTGGGATAACGTACAAAGGATAGCCGTAGTACGCGGCAGTAACTCCTTTTGCGCATCAATTAGGTGTCGGCGTATTTTTGACCATTCATTTCTTTTTAATATAAAAACACTCAAACGACGTCACGTCTGATATATCTCAAAGAAAATAAAGACCGATATAAAAGATGGATAATAAAATATAAAACGACCTCTAAAAAATAAAAATACATCAAAAACCAAATCAGACGTCTTCTTCCTTCGAACGTCCACTTCCTGTCAGAGTTTAAAGACTGCACTATGAAGACAACGAAGAAAAAGAACACACGCAAATACCCTTGCCAAAAAATGCTTTGAAGACCGAAAAGCCACTCGTTGCTGACAACGAGATCTAGTACACATTGAAAGAACATCAATTGAAGAAAACCTTCAAAGGATGCAGGCTTGCAATTCTTCACCATCAGAACAACGTGTCGAAGATGCCGGACCTTGCTATAGAACATACCAAAAGAAGAGGTCGAGATTGCCACATCGAAAACCAACCAACTGCTTCCTCTAATAAGCACATTAAAAGCAAAGATCTGGAGAAGAACAATAGATATGATAGACCAAACTTCCACCGGTCCTTCGCCGATGCCAAATCGAACATCGTCGAAGTAGGGAGGAGCAACAGAGACGTTCATTTTACTAACCTCACAAGTTTGATGTTCATTGATTTTTACCCCTCTCGTCACTTTTGAGTTGCCACTCTCTTGTTCATGTGGCTTAGGTTAGTGCTTTTGAGTAACCAACTGTGTCGCAGAAGTGTAGAGGCGAGGCGAGCTAGAATAACAAACTAACTCAGGATGTTTGGTACCCTGCAAGCATGATGCGACGACTCTTGGTGAGGGCAGTCACAATACTACAAATTTGTTTCTATGCCTATTAATTATAAAAGGTTCTTGACGTCGCCTGAGAGGGGTGAATAGATGTTTATGAAATTTAACAACAAACAAAGCTTTATAATAGGTTAACAGAGTGCGGAACTTCCGCGCAAATTCTGCGGAACTTCCGCACAAAGACGCAGAACCTCCGCACAACACACAGAAGCTCAAATAATAAATATGCCTAGAGTTCTAGCTCAAACAAAACTTGTAGATGTGTTTGAAGATATCCAGTAATAAGTCCACAAAGTATATGCACTTACAAACACACGACCAAGTAGATCGAGTGGAAAGCAAAATATTGCAATTCAAACAAGAGATGAGCTCAAGTCACGACAATAAGAGGCAAGACACAAGATTTACCCCAAGGTTTAGTGGAGCCACCAAAGCTTGTCTATGTCCTCATTGTTGAGGGAGCCACAAAGACTTGAGTCTCTTCCAACTCCTACCTCTTCTCAAGCGAACCATGAAGATCGAGGTGGAGGGTTTCCACTAGCTTCACAAAGGGTAATACAAACTTCCCGTAGCTCACCGCAAGCTCAAGAGCTCACTGGACGATGTCTAGCCGTCCAGGAGGCTTTCCCTCCAAGAGTAACAAATGCATCACAAAGTATGACGAAGCCTGACAAGTGCTCAAATTTTGGCTTGCTCTCAATTGCTCTCTAGCTA